AAATATATTATGAAAATCCTTAATTCTGTCATTACAAGTTGTATATTATAGTTTATGGTTTGATGAAATACTTCACTGCACTATTAGAAAGAGTCTACCTCTGCCATACCTGGGGACTACAAATTTTAAATTCTTCTTCACAAATTGAAAACCCTTCATAAAATACAAATTAAAATTAAGCTACATGTTGTTAGATTTGAAGAAACACCCAAGTATTTCTTTGCTAAATTCTTTTCTCTGGCCTCTTCCAGTGAACAAATTCAAGAGATTCTATTTTCAATCTATTACAAGGTAATAGCAAAATTACATTGAATTTTTAAAAATGTTGATCATAAAAGGGAAGATATGGCAAGAATATTTTAAAGCTTAGTTCCAAGTAAGAAAATAGATCCTTTGTGAATGATATGTTTTTATAATATTTCAGTTATTTATATTCTAGAAGCATTAATTGGAAATATTTAGGGCTTTTATAGTCTCAGAATGTAATACCATCAGAGTATCCCATCAGGGACAAAGGGATCTTATGTCTCTGCATTCATTTGTTCTAACATTACTCACTCCTATGTCTAAGGCATTTAACTGCTAAGCAGAAGGCTGGCAGCTCAAACCCACCAGCCACTCCTCGGAACAAAGGTTGGAAACCCAAGGAGGGGTAGCTATGAGTTGAGACTGACTCGATAGCAGTGAATTTTATATATATATATATATATATATATATATATATATTTATATATATATTTATATATATATTATGACTAATGACATCAAGGAAGGTAACACACACATTTGACTAAGGACACATGGTGCATATAATCAAGTGAATTGTTACATAATAGTTGCTTAGCTTTTAAAAGCGAATGTAAAACCTAATCATTTTTCCCCCTTAAATGTTTTTTTGTGTCTTGGAATGGTGCCTAACTATCTGTCCTGAGAGAATATCTCTTGTTAAACATATAAATATTCCTTACATTCTGTAATTTCTTAAAGGGCATTTTATTCATAAAAACATTCCCTTCAATGGTCTTATGTAATGTTCTATGAAAACAAGCTCACTTCAGATATGAGTCATTCTATCTAAAATAAAGTTGTCCTTGTAGATTATTTCAATACTTAAACTGAAGTTTGGGGGAGGGAAAACTATGACTTGCCCTGGAAAAGAGAAAATTAACCCAACAAATTCTGATATTACCATTTAATTTCCTCTTATTTGCTGGTTTTATAGTATTAGTATATTTCACTTTTCACTATTTAATGAAGAGCAGCAAGGCTAATGAACTTTAATATATTTCCATTAACTAGTGATCAAATTTTGATAAAATGCCAGCAAACACCATCATTATAAAAACAGTATACTCACATTTTGTTTTGTGTGGTCTCAGGACAGACTCTTGTGTTCTATAAATCTGACATTCTTAGCAACTCAGTCTGCAATTTTTTGCTTTTTTTTTTTGAAGCATAGCTTCAAACCCGTTGCTGTTGTCCATTCTGACTCATGAGGACTTCATGCATGCAGAGTAGAATGGCTTTATAGGATTTTCAAAACTAGAACTTTTCAGAAGCAGATCCCCTGGCCTTTCTTCCAATGCACCTCTAGGTGATTTTGATGTACCAACCTTGCTGTCTGTAGTTGAACGCTTAGCAATATATGTCACCCAGAGGCTCTGTTCAGGATTTTAATAAAAATTGTTTATATCAAAATTCCCTGAGACTCAAACATAAACATTTCTCTCCCCTTGTTTCATTATTTTCTTAGGTTATATTTAGTACAATTTTTCCCACTATAAACTGTACAGCAAGGAAAGCATGACAAATTATGAACTGGCCTGAATTCATGATCAATAGAAAGAAACATTGTATAGACATTACATTGAACTAATTCTATTTCTATTCTAAACTCAACTCAACAGCAAAATTCTAACCACACTATTTAATAGTGTGTGTCTAATCTCTGTCAAGGATCTCTAATTGTGCAGTTCCTAAGGTATCTGATTACTAGCCAAAAAGTTAGCGGTTCAAACCCACCAGCTGCTCTGCAGAAAGAGGACAGCACAATTTATTTCTGTAAGGATTTATCATCTTAGAAACCCTGTAGGGGTTGCTATGAGTCAGAACCGACTTGATGGTAGTGAGTTTGCTTTTAATCTTCTATCATTCAATTCTCTCATAAAATTTCAGGATCATGTGAATATGAAGGACACAGAGAATATTGACAACACTTATTAATTAATTTGTTTTTTGACAGACTTACTAGTGATTAAATGCAGACAATTTGCTGATTGTTCTATCTTCTCCATTTATACTAGGTAGAAAATCTAAGACATATAATTTTGGATTTACATTGTTTAAACATTAAACGTGGCTAGGCCAACTCCTTCCCATGTTTAGCTGATGAAATGGATAAATTCTTCTCATCTTCTTCTTTTCACACACTCTGGGTACATATCTTCAACTCAGAGACAAATCTGCGATCTTCTATGATTTATGTATATAAGTTAAACCAAAGTTGAACTGGTTTGCAGATGGATGTGCAAGGCAATCTCTTTCAAAAACATCCGGTTTTTCCTGAATGAAAACATTAGTCCAGGAGTTCATTTTCTAAAGGTTGTAATGAATTTGAATTGTTGTCTCAGTTTATTTACTAACATCTCCCTGAAGTGATCTCCAATAAGGAAATAGAAGACCGGATTGATGACACTGTTCAAGAAGGCAAAAGGTCGAGTCATGATGTATAAGACATTGACACTGTCCTTAGTGCATTGGGACCAGTTACAGCTTTCCAGACGTGACGCAATCCTCACATTCCGCATGATGTGGTAGGGAGTGAAAAGCACTGAGAAGATGATCACTGACATGTTGACTAACTTCAGAGACTTTTCAAAAGGCTGTGTAGAAGCAAGTTGCCTGTTCCTCTGCTTTAGGAAGACAGTGATCTTGAAATAAAAGAGGCACATCACAGACAGAGGAACAAGAAACCCTGTCAGTGTTAGACACAAGCTGTAAGTGAGGTTGTATTTGGGCTCCCCAGAACTTGCATAATCTTTACACTCGGTGCTATTGTCACCTTTATTAGGATTTATAAAGGTAAGTATAGGCAGTAGCTCTAGGGTTACCAAAATCCAAATGGCTAAGGAGATTAAAATGGCAAACTCCTTCTTTTGCAGAAAATGTTGTCGGAAAGGATGCTCCATGAGCATATATCGATCAATACTGATAAAGGTGAGGAAAAGAATGCTGGTATAGAGGTTGGCATGAAGCACATATCGGTTACTTATGCAGAGCGCCTGTCCATATATCCAGTCTTCATTGGCATAGCTTCTCATCAGCATTGGAAGGGTACACAAAAAAGACAAGTCAGAGATAGAAAGGTTAAAGAGATAGATATTGCTGCTATTCCAGTTCTTCAGACAGAAGAGATAGCCAAATACTACAGCAGTATTTCCAAGGATTCCCACAATGAACTCAGCTCCATAAAAAATGGAAAGGTAGTACTTTTCCAGGGCAGTTGCTGTAGTCAGCCAGTTTTTACAAGTTGCATTCCATGCCTAATGAAGGAATATAAAAGATAATGATGACACACTAGATCACGATTAAGGACAAACAAAGTGTGTTTTGTTATAGGTCAAAATAATAATAAAAACAATTGGATGCTGAATTGTGGAGAGAAGCTTACAATGGTGAAGAATACATATTCATATATATAACCTACATATATGCCAGTGATTAATTATTTTAACAACTATTTACTGGGTATCTTTGAATTATGTGCTAGGCACTGCGGATACAGCAGTGAATAAAACAAAGCACCAAATGTCAAAGAATTTATACCCTCTTGGGAAATATCAGGAAATAAATAAAGTCATGCCAAATATATGCCTACTGTCCAAGGAATAAAGTACCAAATGTTTGGTGGGGACTCAAAGTCCTATATGGTTTGGTCCTTATATATGATTTCACCCTCACCTAGTATCACTCTCTTCTTTGCTCATGTTTCTTCCTTTTTTTTTTTTTTAATGTGCAGTCACAACTGTCTAAACCCCTTGTCACTGCCCTTCCCACCTATGCTTCCTCCTTCATCACTTGCTTTGTTTTATATCTGCACACCCTTCTGTTTAAGTGCTTAAATGTTGGTTTCCCAAAGTAGTCTCTCTGTTTTATTCATTGTTTATCTTCTGCACCTGGAATAGTGCCCAGCCTATAAAAGATGGTGTACAAATGGTTGTTGAGAGGGCAGGTGAATATAAATGCTTGACAGTTTACAAAGCTTTTTTATAAATATTTCCTCCGAGGTCAGATAAGTAGTTGGCCCACCATCAAAGTCCATTGTTCTATTTCACTATAAAAGCTGATATTATTTATATTATGACACCCAACAAAACCAAACTCACTGCCACTGAGTCGAATCCGACTTATAGCGACCCTTCCTTGGGTTTCCGAGGCTGTATCTCTATGGAAGTAGATTGCCCAGTCTTCCTTCCGAGGAGTGTCTGGGGGGTTT